TTTGAACCACCAGCCATCTGGTTAGCAGGCAAGTGTCTTAGCCACTATGCTACCAGAGCTCCCTTTTACTATTTTAAAAATAGTAATAAATAAAAAGGAAACTGAGATTTTTATTGCTGATCAGTTAGGAATTATATTATCAAAGGACTGTTATGTTAATTTGACAAATTTACATGCTGAAAGAAGAAAATGAAAAAGAAGCACCTGACTTTTAATTTACTTTTGAACTAGAGTAATCTCTAAATTAATAGATACTAACCAAACCGAGCTCTGGTAGCATAGTGCCTAAGGCACTTGACTGCTAACCAGAAGGCTGGCGGTTCAAACCCACCAGCCGCTTCTCGGAAGATGGGGCAATCTACTTCCGTAGTGATACTGCCTCAGAAACCCAAGGAGGGGTCCCTATGAGTTGGGTCCGACTTGAGGGCACATAACAACAAACAATCAAACCAAAATGCAGACTCACTGCCATCAAGTAGATTCCAACTCATTGTGACACCCATTAGGTTTCTGAAGTTGTAAATCTTTACGAAAGTAGACTAACCCATCTCCTTTCTATGGAGCAACTGGTGGGGTTAAACCTCCAACCTTCTTGTAAGCAGTCAAATGTCTTAGGCACTAGGTCTATTTTAATAGATAATAAATCTTCAGTATCATATAAGGATTAGGGAAGGAAGAGAACCTAAAAAGTAATAACAATTTTCTAATTCTCAAAAGGCCTCTCCCCAGGTAAATTAGGCCAAATAGCAGGCATTTTTCCAAATAATTATATGATTAGGAGAAAGCTGTAGTTCTTGTATTTCTGGTTCTTTTATGTATCTTTTATTTTACTAGGAAACATAATAATTTCTAATGTTGTTCTTTCAGTTCAAATTTCTTTAGTACTGTTAAGTACTGGGCAGCAATCCCAACAGAAGCAAAACAACTGCTTATGAACATACACCTGGCTGGCACTTTCCCTACTGCTTTTTTTTTTTTTCATGGAATTCAGTGTGTCTGACAGCTGACACTTATATAACTTCTCTGAGAGTAAGGAATATGGTGAAACTTCTACAAATGAGAAAACAATAGGTGGCAACGCTGGGACACAATCCCAAGTATCTGCTTTTCATTTTATTTGCTCTGTTTTTCAGAGCTACACTGGATGATGGAAGAAAAACTAGTAAAGCAGAATATTTAATATCAGTTCAAATTAATGCACGTCAAAATAATCAAAGCACAAAGAAATGAAAGCACATAGGGTTTATTTGAGCAATTAATCTGTATGCGTACAGGGAGCTTTCTCTTTTTAGAAAAATAGAAGGGTTCAGTGTAGATCAGTTACAAACTTTTACGGAGAAAAGAGGAGCTACAAAGTAGAAGATTAACCGTTAGGCTATCTTTAACATAATTAAATTATGTTCCTCTTCCTTCTGGTGGCTACATGGTGGTTCTTGTGGCCTGGCCAGCCCCCAATCATTTACCCAACAAAGGTATCTCAATCACTCAGGAAACTCCAAAGTATTAGAATTATCTTCTCCAGAAACAAGGGTGAAAATCAGATTACTTCAGGTAAAGTTAAACTTTGCATAAGGTAAATTCAAACGAGCTCATGGTTAGCAGATAATCACAATGAGGGTCTGCATAATTTTATGATGACTATATCTTCACTATGGGAGCTCTGGTAGCATGGTGCCTAAAGCACTTGACTTCTAACAAGAAGGCTGGCAGTTCAAAACCATCAGCCACTCCTTGGAAGGAAGGTTGGGAAATCTGCTTTCATAGTGATACGGCCTCAGCAACCCAAGGAGGGGTCGCTATGAGTTGGATACAACTTGACGGCACATAACAACAACAACAACATATCTTCACTATGTCTTCTTTGTACCTGTTATCTGTTCTTGGGTATATTCCACATTGGTCAATGTAATAACCTCTGTGAAATTTCCTGTGCTCTCATAGAAATCTGCCAATCTGGGACAGTTTCCTTCTCCTTTTTTTTTTTTTTTCAAAACCATACATAAATGATGTCTTTTTCTTATACTTCATTTAGGGAAAAGGGTGAGGAATGGAAAAGTAAGAGAGATGGGAAACAAATCAAGTCATATTTTCAGGCCACACTACAACAGTTGGTAGCTACTTATCATACTTCCTAAGGTAAAGTTTTGTTTCCTGAATATGGAAACCAAGAGTTCAAAACAGATAGGACAGGTAATTTAAAATCCCAAGTTTCTCAACCAAGTTGAACTTATTGGTAGATGCTACATTATTAGAATGAACTTTGGGCCTAGAAAGTCAAAGGTAGTTCCTTCATTGAGAAATAAAGACATGTGACTTAGGGAAAACATCAGATATACTAGGGAATGCAGGAGTCCCTACATAGTACAAAAAGGTGAATGGGCTCGGCTGCTAATCAAATGGTTGGAGGTTCAAGTCTTCTCAGAGGCAGTTCAGAAGGCAGGCCAGGTGATCTACTTCCAAATACTCAACTGTTGAGCACCCTTCTACAGTTTTACTCTGATACACATGGGGCCCATGATTTAGAGCTGACTTTATGACAATTAGTGATTTATGGTGGTGGTAGGGAATAGCAAGTGAAACATTCTCTGAAGTCTATGTCTTATTTCAGATACATACAATTGTTATATGACCATGATTTCTCACCTCTTAGGAACAAACATTTAGCTACAATATTAAAAACAAACAGAAAAATTGACTATGTAATAGAAAACCAAATCCATTAGAGCAGTTACCTAGAGTTAGCTAGCTCTTACACAGATGCTGACTTACACTGCCCACCACAGTATTTGATTACCATCAACAAACATTAGCTACTACTATATGTCAAAGGAACTCTGGTGGTGTAGTGGTTAAGGCATTTGGCTGCTAGCCAAAAGGTCAGTAGTTTGAACCCACCTGTTGCTCCACAGAAGAAAGAAGAGGCAATCTGCTTCCATAAAGATTCACAGCCTTGGAAACCCAATAGGGGTCACTATGAGTCGGAATCGACTTGATGGCAGTGAGTTTGTTTCTTTGAGAATATAAGTCAACAATTCTGCTAAGGACATATAGGATGACTGAAAGTGTCCCTGAGCTCACAGTCTAGGGATTACTAGAAGGGAAAGGTGAAGAAAGAGTGTTGAGAGGAAGGGAGTTGAGATAATCTGAATGAAAAACTGGGTGATTTCACTATAGGGGAAAAAGGAAAGAGGATTAATGCTATGGAAAGAAAAAGAAAAGTAAGTTTCTGGGTGATGTGAATCTGAGAGTTCTTCAATTTCTTCAGGTTCTAAAGGTATCAAGAACCAGCTTCCCAGTAAAAACAGGAGCAATGATAACAGGACAACTAAAAATAGGCCAGTACTATACCAAAGAAGGCAATAGCCAGCATAACCTTAACCATTGTCATTGTTGAGGTCACAGAATTATTCTTTTTAACTACTCTTGTCATCAGAGGCTTCCTGATACGATCATCTGTAGTGAGGATAGCTTGCCGTGCTCCATCCCATTTTCCAGGCCCCTGAAGACGATACTGGACTGGAGTACAGGGTCCGAATAATAAGTGAAATGCCAACTTGGGATCAGTGAAGGCCAAGGACAGCACATTGGGCTTGACTCCCACCAGATCAGCAAACTCTTCCATTGTTTCTATATAGTCTCCTTGAATAGTATGGCGTTGACTCTCCACATACCTAAAGCAGAAAAGACAGAAGCAATGACTTACCAAGTTTAATAAATCAGTCACTCAGTCAGTTAGTGCTTGCAGAGTGCCTGCTACTGGCTCAATATTGAGCTTAAGAGTTATGGAAAACAGAGGAAAAAATGCAAGGTATGGTATCTGTCCTTAGTGAGTTTAAAACCTAACATAGGAGATCCACCTGACATATGAAGCAGAGAGGAATCTAAGACTCTCAGTAATTTTAGACTGCCAAATAGAAATGTAGAGAGAGGTTAGTTAAAAGAGAACTATCATAGTTAGAGCCTTGAAGGATGTGGAAGATATAGATATTCTAAGAACAAAAAGGAAAATATTATAATTCAAGGGAACAGCAGAGTGAAGAGTAAAGCAGGTATAAATGTAGAATTGTTGTTAGCTGCCACTGAATTGGCTCCAATTCATGGTGACCTTATGTGTAACAGAACAAAATGTTGCCTGGTCCGGTGCCATCTTCATGATCATTGGTATGTTTGAGCCCACAGTTGTAGCTATTGTGTCGATCCATCTCATGGAGGGTCTCCTTCATTTTTGTCAAACCTCAGTTTTACCAATCTTTTCTAGTGACTGGTTCTTCCTGATACGTCCAATGTAAAGTGAGTAAAATATCACCATCTTCACTTCTACAGAGCAGGCATCTTTAGAATTTACCAGGAATCCCTAGACTGGGATTGTGAGCTAAGGGACTGTTTCAGTCATCTATATGTCTTTAGCAGAGTTCTTGAGAGCCGGTTGTGTTTCTTCTAAGACTGATAAGTATAGAATACGAGCAAAGAATATCTTGGGCACTACCTATAGTAGGATGTGGAATGAGGGATATCATTGTTGATGTCAGATGGATCTTGGCTGAAAGCAAAGAATACCAGAAAGATGTTTACTTGTGTTTTAATGACTGTGCAAAAGCATTCAATTGTGTGGAGCATAACAAATTATGGATAACATTCAGAAGAATGGGAATTATAGAACATTAAATTAAACTCATGAGGAACCTGTACATAGACCAGGAGGCTGTCATTCAAACAAAACAAGGGGATACTGCATGGTTTAAAATCAGGAAGGGAGTGCATCAGGGTTGTATCCTTTCACCATACTTATTCAATCTGTATGCTGAGCAAATAATCCGAGAAGCTGGACTATATGAAGAACATGGCATCAGGATTGAAGGAAGGCTCATTAATAACCTGCGACATGCAGATGACACAACTTTGCTTGCTGAAAGTGAGGATAACTTGAAGCACTTACTGATGAAGATTAAAGACCATAGTCTGCAGTTTGGATTACACCTCAATATAAAGAAAAGGAAGATCCTCACAACTGGACCAATAAGGTGCATCATGATAAATGGAGAAAAGACTGAAGTTGTCAAAGACTTCATATTACTTGGTTGTACAGTTAACAACAATGCAAGCAGCAGTCAAGACATCAGATGATGTATTGCATTGGGCAGATCTGCTGCAAAAGACCTCTTTCAAGTGTTGAAGAGCAAAGATGTCTCCCTGAAGACTAAGGAGTGCCTAACCCAAGCCATGGTGTTTTCAATCACCTCATATGCATGTGACAGCTGAACAATGAATAGAGAAGACTGAGAAAGAGTTGATGCTTTTGAGTTGTGGTGCTGGCAAAGAATACTGAGAGTACCATGGACTGCTAAAAGAACTAACAAATGGTCCTGGAAGAAGTGGAGCCGGAATGCTCCTTGGATGTGAGAATGGCAAAACTTCGTGTGACCTACTTTGGTCATGTTGTCAGAAGGGACCATTCCCTGGAGAAGGATATCATGCTTGGTAAAGTGCAGGGTCAGTGAAACAGGGGAAGGCCCTCAACAGGATGGATTGACACAGTGGCTGCAATGATGGGCTGAGGTATTGCAAGGCTCGTGAGGCTGGCACAGGACCGTGTTTCGTTCTCTTGTACATAGGGTTGCTATGAGTAGGAGACGACTCGAAAGCACCTAACAGCAGCAACAAGCTACAGTAGAGAAGGCATGTGTGGGATGCAAGAGTAGAAATGGAGAAGCATATCCAGATACAGAGGACTCTGATGGTATCAGAAAGAGATAATCGATCACAAAAATCTCCTTTAAATCAATCACTGTAAATGTGAAATCCTCATTTTTTTTTTTTTTAAATGAAGGCAGTGCTGGTGAGGTCCACAAAGCAGACTTCCCAAGGTCAAAGTTAATTTGGAAGCCTGACAGGAGAAGGGAATATGATTTACCCCAAAAGGCAAATAGCCCTCCAGATGGAGCCAGATGCAGTTTTGAGGAGTTAAGAGATCTTTTTTTTTTTTTTGTCTTTTTTTAAAAATTGTGATTTGGGTGAAAGTTTACAGAGCAAATTCACTTTCCATCCAGCAGCTGACATACACTTTGTCTCACGACATTGACTACAGTTTACAACAGTGCAATAACTCCTCTCCCTCTTCCTCCCCATAGTTACCTCTTCCCTGTGTCCTTCCCTCCACACACTCCTACTCCCTGAGCTATGTCCCTGTGCGTACACAGCCCTTCCATTCTCCCATGATTGATCTCTTAATAGATCTTTTTAAGGGAAATAGAATATGGTAACAGTGATAACTGTGATTGGTGACTTTCATATTCAGCTTTCTATAATGAAAAGAAAGAAGAAAGAATAGAAAGGCAATAAGAAAAAAGCTAAGGCAAACTAAATGAGAGCGTTTACTAAAGAAATCCAAAAACAAGGATAAGAAAAAAGATGAATGAAAGTAAATTTGAAGGTAAAACTAGTAACATGGAGTCTTGAAGGGCCAATAAATGACCAAGTAGGAATTTATTGAGATATGACTCAAGTTTAGAAGAGAAGGTAAGACAGGAAAGAAGTTGAGCACTTTCCCTTATGGGTGTCATGCTGGTTCAAGGGTTTGTAGGCATGTATTTATTTATGCTATGATAGAGGGTAAAGATCTGTATTATTCATGAAGGTTTCACAAGTTCACTAGAACCTGCCTTGTAAGTTGTTATGAGGATTAAGTAAGCTCATACATATGAAACACTCACAATGAGTGTACATTATGGACCCTCAATAAAGGTTAAATTATACTCTTGAGGACTTGCTTACATCAGAATGTGTTTAGACAGAAATAAATCAAATGAAAAAAAAGGAAGAAAGTTGAAATAGGATAATTTAGTGCCTGGAAAGCAAGGGAAAAAAAGCACTTTAAGAAGGAAGTGATGTTAAAAGTATCAAATTCAGTGGTAAGAAGAAGTAACACGAAGTTTGTCATGGATGGTCTTTAAAAGAGTAGTTTCAGGAGTAAGGATGGAAATTACAATGTAGGAGGGTTAAAAGGGAGTGAAGCATATAATTTAGAATCTTTAACTTTGGGAGTGAAAGGAAGGTGGAAAACAGGAGAGAAACAGGAAGAGGTAACAAGGTTGAAAACTTTCTTTTTCCCTCTTGCAGACAGGAGAGTTTATTGGCATCATCAATTGAAGAAAACCTCTTTGGGCCTGTGGTGATTGTGCTTCTGACTTTCCCACAGAAACACATTTACTACTCACTTCCACTTTGTCCAAATAAAAAAGCACCTAGTGATTGAGTTCAAGTTCTGAAATTCAAATTGCTGGATTAATGTGTTCAGCCAACTACTAAGTAGTTGGCTTATGTTAGCCCCTTCCGTAATTATGTGGACTTCTCACCCATAAGCCACTGTGGCTGAGTGTACTGTCAAATGATGACAGCAAACAGCCACTGCAGAACAGATTTGTAAATTTACGTACAGATTTGTAATTTGACCATATCTACCTCTCATTAATATCACAACAGTTTTTCTTTCTCTGGCAGCTCCATTAGCACTTCAAGTAATCGTCAAAAAAAAAAAAAAAGATGCACTGCCGTCAACTCAGATCCCATTCACAGTGACCCCGCCTTGGGTTCCCGAGGCAGTATCATTATGGAAGTAGATTGCCCTATCTTCCTTCTGAGGAGTGGCTGGTGGGTTTGAACCACCAACATTCTGGTTAGTAGTCAAGTGCCTTAGGCACTATGCCACCAGACCTCCCTCAACCTAGCAACATTATGTACCAGAGTTTCGTTCCATGTATTTTTTTCTACTACAGGACTTTTCCTATAGGCCTTAAACATAGGACTTTAAACACTGTTCCTAAGCTTCTCTCTTTTATTTCCATGTATATTCAAAGGACTGCTACTGGTGCTATTTCACCATTATATTGTCAGAAATTATTTCATTTTCCTTCAAAATATAATCTAAATCCTTAACTAACAAGAAGAAGCTAAATATAGCACAGGATCCTGAATGAGACAGATTAACAAAGTGTCTGCAACAACGGGCTCAAACACAGCAAAGATTGTTAGGATGGCACAGGACCCTATTACTGTTGCACAAAGGGTTGCTGTGAGTTGGAATTGACTTGACGGCACCTAACAACATACGGCTCTTATTGCGTGATAAGTAGAAAAATTAACAGCATATCTTCCCAGGAGAATTTCTTACCTTTTATCTATTTTCTCTTGAACCTTAGCTATATCTGCCAGCATTTCACTTTGTGAAGGCAATGTCTTTAGCCCTAAAGAGAAAAGTTAAAATTTTAAATATAAAATGACCTTATTGGGAATAATAATTCTGTTAACAATTATTAGGCTATGGAGAATTCAATGAAATACAGGATAGTTTTTTTGTATTTAACTAGCTTACAGTTCACTCTAGTCTATCCTACTTTGTCTTTGGAAAATATTTCTCCTACTCTGCCTTCCAATCAAAGCTTACCTCTTTCTTAACATAGCCTTTCAAGTGGGAAATAAAATTTGGGCATGTAGAAATGATAAATGGCCTTAAAAATATATGGAAAATGAAGAACAAAGTAAAGGGCTAGGGAAACATTACACTTGTACTCTTAGTAACAAAGAAGCTTCATAGCACAGAAGGAAGTAAAAGTAAACTCTCAAAGTAAACATCTTAATACTTAAAGGCCTATCAAAAATAAGCCTCATCTTCTAACTTTTTTTATCTGATGAGGGTGGAGGTTAAGGCCAAGGACAACTAATAATACCCGATTTTGACAGGTAAATTTAATCACTGATACACAAAAAATTTCAGCCCTAGGCATTTAATACCAAAAATATAGTCAAAGGTAGAATAGTATTTAAGTCAGTACAAACAATGCTAACCTTAAATAATTGGCCTTATTCCTAGATTTCTAGGCTTTTTGTCATGTAGAAATTTTTAGCCATATCCCAACCCTAAGGTGTTACTCCTTAAGTTCTGTAAGTAGAATTTCAGAATGGAAATATACCTTACCTAATATAAGCCTTCTCTCTACAAATAATCTAGTCAAGTGGTTATTGCTAGTCAAGTCATTACTGCTTAAACTTTCCTAGTGATAAGGATCTCATTACCCTCTGAGAAGATGGTGCTAGAACATGTGGCTGTGAAAGCTAAAAACAATATGGAGTCATTATACCCAGCTGGAAGAGCATGCCTGCTACTTGGTTTCACAGATCAAAAGTTTAAGATAGTAAGTAGTAACCTGTTGTTATGTGCCATTGAGTCAGCCCTGACTCATAGCGACCCCTCCTTGGGTTTCTGAGGTGGTATCACTCTGGAAGTAGATTGCTCAATCTTCCTTCTGAAGAGTGGCTGGTGGGTTTGAACCACCAGCCTTCTGGTTAGCAGTCAAGTGCCTAAGGCACTATACCACAAGAACTCCCGGTAAGTAACCTAACTTTTAGAAATATTAACTAGCTTGTTTTTGTAGACTTATGTATAATCAACAGTTCCCGCTCTTCACCTTTGACTCCAGGTTGACTGCCTTCTGCACAAGCAGGTGCCTAGTTATCTGGGAGTCTGCTCAGCAGGCTCTTACCTCCCTCCCCAAAACAAGCCCCTCAGACTAGCATCATTTGTCTTCTTAGCCAAACACAATACTGAGGAGGAAAGAATTTCAAGAGACATTTTAATAACTATATGAAATGTTCATGGAAACCATCTGGATTTTCCTGGCTTTCTTTGTTCCTTGAACTATAAATACCCTATACAGTGTCATCTTAGGTGCAACACCCAGTCAGATTCCAATTTGTGAATTATATGATCGACTAATAAATCTCTCACATTGTTTGAACTCTCAGAGCTTATTAAGAATAATAATTCTGGAACCATGGTCTAATCTTAACAAATGAATACCCTTGAAACATTAAAAAAACTGTCATAACTTCTTTAAGCATTCCCATTATCAGGCTAACCAGTACTAGTTCCCTATGTGACAGATTGTACATTCTCTACCAGTGTGGTTTCTTTTTTCTATGCACACTTTAGTAACTATCCTGGTGTCTTCCTCTAAAAATATGGACTCCTCTACAAATCAACACTCGAGAAATAGTCCTCTGGGTTTTGCCATGTGTTTTCTTATTTTAGCCAAGTAGTTATGACTTATATTCATAAGTCAATGAGAAAACATTGAGATGCTTCATTTGAGATTGATCACAGGTCTCTTGAGATGCTCAATAAACATATTGTGAAAGTTGATTTCCAAATTATTGCTCATATTACAACCATAAGCTTTCCTTCTATTAATTAGGAGCATTATGGAGGAGGAAGTAGTTTAGGCTGAGAGAGTCAGCTAATTCTTGCACGCACGGGCACGCACGCGTGCACGCACACACACACACACACACACAAACACCTCTATAAATAGAGGTACATACAATAAATAGTCTGTAGTTTAGTGCTCTGTTAATTCATTAACACTGTTCTTGCCAGTGTTTCCTTGTTTAGATACTTATTATTTACCATATTTTTCAACTCCTTCCTTCCTATCTTGCTTCTCATCTATCTCCAGTTTCAGTTAAAGCATCATCACCTGAGGAAACAGATTCTTTTCTTCCTTCATCCCCAATATACATTATGTCATTAAATCCTTTCAAATCTACTTGCTCAACTTCATTTAAGTTTATCCTCTATCCATTTAGATAATCATTACCTTAGTTTAATGCCCTCATCATGTCTTACTTGGACTTCTACCACAGGCTTTTAACTGAGTGACTTCCCATTTCACTCCTCTGACACATCTTCTAAACTTCAAACTTGATTTTACTTCTTGTCTTCTAGTTAAAACTCTTCAATTGTTCTCTATCTCCTACCTAGAATGCAAACTTGTTGCATGGCACCCAAGGATTTTCCTTGATTTTGCCTCCTTGAATACCTCTAGCTTCATTTTCATTAATTCTTATAGTACTTTTCCTTTCGACATTCTGAACTACTTGCAATACCTGGAACTTGACTTGTTCTGTCACTTTTCTCTGACTGCATAAATATTACTGATTTTCCCCCCTGTTATGATCACTATTTCCTTGTCCTTTTACCAAATTCTTACTCATCCTTTAAGATGTCATTGAGGGTTGCCTGATGAACCTTTTCCAGCTTCTCAAAGGAGAACTGGGTGCTGATTTCTTACACCCCCCCCCCCAGCAGCTCCTTTACATTGTTATTGGAGCACTTGTTTAAATAAATATTAAGTAAATATTTGTTGAATGAATAATATGTTAAATGTCTGTTTATTTGTCTGTCTTCCTTGTTTGACTCTGAGTTCCATAAAGATAAGGATTTGCCTTTTGGTCATATTTGAATCACTACCATCTAGCACAGGACCTGGCACATACTACCAACCCAAACCAAACTCACTAGTAAGAGGTCAATAAATGCTAGCTGAACAATGGTAACAGGTGAAGTTCAGAGATTTTCCAGAGGTTCCGAGACAATGTGGGAAGAATGTCTGAATTTTAAATATATGATAGTACGACTTTCAGTCTACTGTCAGGTCTAGAGCAGATTGGATTTGTGTAATTATGACTTTCTCTAATCCTGACATGCCCTTGAATATTTTAGTGTAAAGATAATATTACAAGAGAAGACAGTCATGTCTGTCATTCTGCTCTTGCAGTTCAGTCAAGCCTTTTAACATGACTAGAAATTGGCTCATGTATTTCATAAACTGAAACCCTCGAGAAGTTTTATTGTAGAGTTTACCTCAGAACTAAACTTACATGCAGTTGAACAGACATTATTTAGGACCTGTTAACATTTCGTTCTGTCATAAAGCCACCATGAGTTGGAGCCAACTGTGTGGCAACGGATAATAATGTGCTAGGTACTCGTCTGTGCCTGGTATAAAAAACCAAACCAAACTCACTGTGGCTGAGTTGATTCCAACTCATAGTGACCCCTCCTTGGGTTTCCAAGGCAATATCTGTACGGAAGTAGATTGCCCAGTCTTTCTTCCAAGGAGTGGGTTTGAACCACCAGCCTTTTGGTTAGCAGTCAAATGCCTTAGGCACTATGCCATCCAGAGCTTCCACAAAGGTATTCTTTTTTCAAGAGAATTTAATATACTAAAAGGGTCGGAGGAAATATATTTAGGCTTTCTTTATACAAATAATGAGTAAAAGAAGGACATACCAAACAGAGAGAAACAGAAGCAGAGGCATAGAGGGGCAAAGAGTACAGGCAGTGTTTCCTGATGAATGGGTAAGTCATCCAGTCCATCTAGGAGATTGTAGAATGTATGATAAAGATTCCAGAAGGACAGGCCTGAAAGAGTGAGCTGTACCCAGTTTGTGGAGAAAACTGAATGACATGCTATGACATAATGCCTTCTTGAGACCCAGAGAGTTGGTATAACTTGATGTGATTTTCAAGGAAAGAAAGTTGCTGAACGAAGGTAGAACACTTGCAAGGCTCCTGAGAGCACTGTAAAAGAGGCAAAGAGAAAAGAAAATGAGGTTTTAGTTAAGGCAAGGAAGCAGGTTCATCATTCTAGAAAAGGGTGGAATAGTTTCTTGACAATAGAATAATGGTTCCAGAGAACGGAAGAGGAGGCAAAATGGGGCTTGGTAGGGGCAAGACAGGCCAGGAAAGGGGATAGACTGAGTTGGAAATAATTGAAAGAATGGGAGAAACTAGCTAATCCTGAGGGTTTAAAAACCTGGCACAGTGAAGGTATATTTTAAAGGTGAGAGAGGCAAGAATTTGTAGGTAGACAAGATGGCTATGTTTAGAACAAAAAGCTCAGGGTTCCTTTTGGAATTTTGATAAAGTTATAGAGATTCTTCTGAAGATTCCTTCCTTCTGGGTGTTAGAAGCAAACTAGAGGAATCACACTAGGCTTCTGCTAGTCTAGGAAGCTGGGCTCTTTGCCATTTGTTTAGGTCATTTTTCCCTAGGATCCCCTAATCCTACAGGAGTAATGCAGATTTTTCTAAATACTCATTTTCCCTGTTTGTCTCAATAGTTCACTGGGTGCTGGAAAAGAGTTCTAGTTGTTTAAAGTATATTAAGATGCTGTGGCCTACTTTATTGCATCTTTATATTCTTACTTAATTGACCCAATTAAAAGATGCACTAGAATTAAGCCACTCTAATAGGGTATTGCATTTGATTGGTGGTCCAGTACTCTCAAATCACATGATCTACTAAATAGGGCTAGAAGAAATTAAGAAATAAGAAATTTGGAAAATTTGGAAAAGTTTTTGATCTGTCAACTCTAATAACTTTTTTTTCCTCCCTCTACAACCAAAACCCACGAAGATCTTCACTAGGGAAGAACAGGCTGTCCTTCCAACAGGAACTCTGAAGAGTTTTAGTGACACTGTTAGTAATGTAAGCAACTTTCATTACAACAACTAACTATACATTCAAAAAATTTCTTCCTTAGAAGGGACTTGAAACGTTGCAGTAGTTCAGTTTGTATGTCAACTTGGCTGGGCCTGGTTGAGTGGCTGGGTAGCTGGATGTAGTATTCCCCATGATGAGACTGGTAACCAACTCCATGGTGGAATCTACTGTGAGCAGCTGAGTAGCTTGCCTTAGAGAATGTGGTCTTCTTCCTGTATATAAAGCAGAAGCCTTGGGAAATAGTCACTAGCTTATGGCACGCTTGGACCCTGTGTGTAGCCGTGTTATTTTCAGCAGCCTGCCATGCTCTGCTGACCTCGGTACTTACAATGGACTTAAACTAATGGCCTGCCATGTATGTGGTTTGGTAACATCAGGACTATGCCTTTTTACTTGTCAACCTTGGTTTTGTCAGCCTTAGCAGCCAGCAGCTATCTGAGTGAAGAAAAGCCTCTAGCTTCAGTGGGCCAGGAGCTGGAGGCAGAGCTGAAGCCCAAGGCTGAGGGGCTTTCACCCAGCCCCTAGAGCCTGGCACTTTGAACTCAGACTTCTAGCCTCCTGAACTATAAGAGAATAAACTTCTGTTTGTTAAGGCCATCCCATTTGTGGTATATTCTTGTCAGAGTGGCACTAGGTAACCAGAAAAAACGTCATTTGGTTTCTCCCTATTTTGAGGCTTGAAAGTATCTGCTCCATATTTCATACCCAAATAGCCATCCAGCCATTTGATACCCTCTTCCTATTATGCCTGAATTCCTCACACTTTCAGAGGCAGTCCATTACACCTTGAAATGGGCATGGGCTGGTAGAAAAAGAGATTTTTCTAAAATTGATGTGATATTATGTATTCCTCAAGGTTTCACTTCTTAATTCTGGTTCCATCCACCCTTTGAAGCCACACTGAGCTAATCTAATCTTTCTTCCATGGGATGTCCCTTGAAATATTTGAAGGGAACTGTCATATCTCCCCTGAATCTTATCTCCTCCAGGCAAAACATCTTCAGAGCCTTCAGCTGTACTTTAAAATGGCATGTTTTAAAATTCCTTAACCATTTTGGTCTTTCTTCCTTTAATGTAGTCTAGTTTCACTTTTGAAATATATCTCTGGGTGTGGTCTGACCAACTTGGAGAACACAACTGTTCTAGGATATTATAATTTTTAATAATGCTGACTCATACTGAGACTACTATCCAAACCCCAAAGTCTTCTTCTCACATACTCCTAGTAACCAAACCTGAAAAAAGGAATAGTTAGGGAGAAAGTGAGAATATGAGAGGTATTAATCTTTTACATTCTGGACTAGCCTCTAACTATGTCTTAATTTTTATATGAAATCAATTTATACCATTTTTATATTTGAAGTTTTCTGTAATGAAAGAGTCAAATTCTTTTGCTTCACAAATACAAATCACTTGTCTAATAAAATTTACGAACCTGTGGGTGGTACAAAAGGTTAACGTGCTTGGCTACTAACCAAAAAGTGGGAGGTCTGAGTCTATCCAGAGGTGCCCTGGAAGAAAGGCCTGGCAGTCTACTTCTGAAAAATCAGTCATTGAAAACCCTATGAAGCACAGTTCTACTCTGACACACATGAGGTCACCATGAGTCAGAGTCAACTCTGTGGCAACTACTTTTCGTCTAAAATCTGGATCAGTGGATTCTAATGTGAAATGCACATTATTGAAGAGCATGTTTCTGAGGAAGACTTTTCTCATAGATCTTATGCCCAGCCCCATCCCAGACTTACATATACGCATCTCCAAAGATGGAATCAAAGCATGCCTACTTTGAAAAAATTTCCCAGTGGGCATTGATGTATGTCTGTGGTTATAAATTACTGCTTTAGATTTGCTGAAAAGTTAATTTTTGAGCACTAACTCTGTGCGAGGCACTGATACAGTTATACTGTTCTGTCGCTAGCTATTTGAAAATAAGTGCATAAACAGAACTAAACACACCACCGAATAATTAGGTAGTCAACTTGCGTGGTCACTTACCTTTAAACACTTGAGTTGCCCAGCGTCCTTGAATCTCTGAAATAGGCATAATGGCTCCCAAGGGCTGGATCAAGCCTATGATTGCAAGAGTTGGCTTTTCTAGGTTAGGCGGGAAGACTTTTTTATACAGGGATATTTTGTTTTTCACCACTTTGACACAGTCATCAAGAAAAGGAAAGGCAAAGCTATAGCCTGTGGCAAAAACAACAGCATCAACGTCATCCTCCCTGGAGCCATCTTCAAATATGGCAGCCGTCTCTGTGAATTCCTTCACATTTCCTTTCACCTTCACCAAGCCAGAAATTATGCGATTCGGCAGGTCATCATTTACTGTGGGATGCTGACTCATAGCTCTGTGAGCCATGATAAGGACCAAGAGAAAGAGAAAGGAGAGAGATCATAATTGAGAGATAAGAAACAAACAAACCAGTGTACTATGTAAGTGAAATTCTGCTTTGGCAGAGGAAGTTAAACAATATTCCAGTGATCAACCCTGTGATCCACCCATGAAATTTGGGAAATATCTAACTTACACAAGTTTGACATAGGTCAGGATCTCAGAGCAGAAGCTGGACCCTGGATGGCATTAAAAGGAAGAGTAGTAAAGGAACAAAGAAAAAAAGTCTTTCTTATTTGAGGAATGCATGTATAGTTTCTCAAGGAATAGTAATGTTCTCAGTGATGTGATAAAGCCACAGGCCAATAATTTCTATCCACATATCAATTTGAAAGGGCAGAACTCGACTATTAGAATTCTATTCAAGCTCATTTCTAGCTGCAAAGATCCAACAGCGAAATTCAGATAATCATTTTCTAAACTGTTTAAGTTACATGTGTACAGAAATTTACCGTTTATAAGTCACTTTTACACACATTAACTTTTTTGACTCTCACACAAAACCTGTGAGGAGACAGGAGAGGTGTCATCCTCCAGGTTTTATAAGGAAACTGAGGCCTAGAGAAGTTAAGTGATTTGCCCAAGGTTACACAGCTTAGGATTTTAGAAGTTCTATCACAATGGATTTCTATGAATTCCCTCAGGATATTTTAGCCCTGTTAAGTAGTATATCCTAGGGACAGTAAAGCAAAGGGATACCAAAAAATAGGGCAGAGTTTCCATTGTCTTGAATCTTTCTAAAAAGCAGTCTGAATTCTTAGATCCTAAGGTCCTAGGCTCTCAGAATCCTCAGCCAATCACATTTGAACAGATGTCATCTAGCCTCTATTCCTTTTATGGAATAAAAGCCAAACTAACAGGGTAGGGAATAGCATTCCAATTACAAGTACAAAGTCTTAGAATGGCAAAAAGTTTTGTTATGCTCTTGGGTCTGCTTATAGTTGGGTATGGCCAGACTGTGTAGCACAGGTGGAAGAGTGATTGAAGAATATACCTCTGGTAGCATAGTGCCTAAGACACTTGACTGCTAACCAGAGGCTGATGGTTCAAACCCACCAGCCACTCCTCGGAAGGAAGATGGGGCAATCTACTTCTGTAGTGATACTGCCTCAGAAACCCAAGGAGGGGTCACTATGAATCGGGTCCGACTCGACAGCACATAACAACAACAACAACAACAACTACTTTACTCAGCTTGATACCCTTCTCCAGGGACTGGTTCCTTCTGACAAAATG